CGTGCCCTCCCTCCGCCTGCCCGGCAGCTGCCCGTGGCCGCCTGCCAGGCCCTGCCTGACGTCAGGGTCTGACCAGGGACATAATGTGCTGGCGTCAGGACAGGGCTGGCTGCAGGGAGACAGGGCCGCGAGGCGGGGCGGTCAGAGGGAGACGGGCAAGGGGGGGAGAAGAGGAGAGAAAAACAGAGAGAGAGAGAGAGAGAGAGAGAGAGAGAGAGAGAGAGAGGCAAAAAAGAGAAATACAGAAACAGACAAGGAAACAGAAAACTAGGAAGAGGGGATGAAACAGTGAAAAAGAGAAATTGAGGCAGAAATTGAGAGACACAGAGATAGAGAAAACAAATAAAAAGTTGCTCAGAGAAAACCAGGAAGAGAGAAAAAGCCAGAGAGGAGAGAGAGAGGAGGAGGAACAACAAAGGGAGAGGCGGCAAGACCATGGGTGGGGCAGGGGATTAGGTGCAAGCTTGGGAGACCCCAGGCCTGGGCCGGGATGTGGCTCTGCCCTCACGGTCTGGTGACGCACGCCCAGGTCCTCTGATTCCTTACCTGGGCAATGGCAGCCTCACTCACGTGGGGAGAGGACAGAGCACCCCCTTCATGATGGGGTTGGTGGGAGTCGATCTATATGCTGAGCTTTCGCAGAGCCTTCACATAGTAAGTGCTCAGTAAACTGGAAGTGAGCACAAGAGGGTGTTGGGTAGGGAAGGAAAGAAACGGTGCAAGTGGGCAGTAACTGTGCAAAACAGCCCTCATTCCACTCTCTTTCATGCAGCCGCTGAGTGCCCCCTCCCGCCCCTGCAGGACTCAGCATGAGGTCACCAGCACAGACCTTGGCCTGGCCTTGCCTGTCTCAGGGCCCAACCCCCAGTTTATGGGCTTAAGAAGGCCGTGATCCCAGGGCCATCGCGTCACCAAAGCCAAACAAGGCCAGGCCCTGGTCACTGCGGGCCTTCCAACCTCATCATCCCTTATCCAGCTTAATTATTAAATGACCCCGCAGGGCTGAGGGGCTGAGCCGGCTGCCCTCCAGGTGTGGACAGTTGTGCCAGCGTGTCCCCCATTAATGCGGGGACACATTCCTGAGACGCCAGGTAGCACTTGCAAGCATCCTTTCTTTTGCTCCCACTTTCTTCCAGGTGTCTTCATCATCCTCAACTTCCAAGTTCCCACTTATTGAGCACTTACTGTGTACAGGGCATGGTCTCAATCCTCCTGACACCCCCAAGAGAATGAGCGTTATTATTATTCCATTTTACAGGTGAAGAAACTGAGGCTCAGATAACAGCTCCCACTTTCTGAGTAGCTCCCTAATGCCAAGCTTGAGCCAGAAGCTTTGCTGAGAGAGAGAGAGAGAGAGAGAGAGAGAGAGAGAGAGAGAGAGAGAACCACTCCCCCAGTGGCCCACTCCTTGCACCATAAGACCCCACTGTGACTTCTGATGGTTTCAGTTCTTAGGAGACACTAACTCTATTCCAGGCCCTTCTAAGTCCTTGTTTGCCTGGTATAAATGATGCCTCAACACCTTTTTACATATGAAGACAGTGTTTTAATCATTGGCCGAGAAAATAGATCAGGCAAAGAAGTCACTAGGAAGATCAGAATGCCTTTAAAGAATTTGTATTTTGTTCAAAGCAGTATTGAGGGACATTTGAAATTGGCCATACATGGATTCATTAAGTACCTACTATGTGCCAGGCCCTGTTCTTGGTAGGAGATACATCAAAGACCTGCTGGAACGTTAGGAATCACAGCCTTTGAACTGTGGACAATACACAAGAAAACAAATAGATCAGTGATGGCGAACCTTTTGAGCTCGGTGTGTCAGCATTTTGAAAAACCCTAACTTAACTCTGGTGCCGTGTCACATATAGAAATTTTTTGATATTTGCAACCATAGTAAAACAAAGACTCCTATTTTTGATATTTATTTTTATATATTTAAATGCCATTTAACAAAGAAAAATTAACCAAAAAAATGAGTTCGCGTGTCAGAGGTTCGCCATCACTGAAATAGACAATCGAGATAATTTCAGAGTGTGACCGTAGGGAGAGGGAAGGGCCATTACATATTTTTGATATTTATTTTTATATATTTAAATGCCATTTAACAAAGAAAAATCAACCAAAAAAATGAGTTCGCGTGTCACCTCTGACACGCGTGTCATAGGTTCGCCATCACTGAAATAGACGATTGAGATAATTTCAGAGTGTGACCGTAGGGAGAGGAAAGGGCCATTACAGAGAGGGTGGTGTCCAAGAGGGCCTTTCTGAGGAGGGGAGACCTAAAGGAACCAGCCCTGGGAAGAGGCAGGGTGAAAGATTCAAAGCAGAGGGGACAGTGTGTGCAAAGGCCCTGAGGCAGGAGCTTCCATGCAGTGTTGAGGTACAGCAAGAAGGTCTGTGGCTGGAGTCAAGTGAGGGAGGAGGAGAGGAGAAGGAAAGGAGATTGGAGAAGTAATGACTCACCAATGTGCACAGCCGCGTGGCCACTGCAAGGGTTTTGCATGTACTCTGAGGAAAGTGGGAGTCATGGGAGGTTTTTGAGCACAAGAGGCACAGGATCTGACTTAGGTTCAAACAGGGTCTCTTTGGATGTTATGTTCAGTTGAATAATGCCCCCCAAAGATGTCCACATCTTCCTCCCCCAAACCTATCAGTGAACTTTAGATGGCAGAAGGAACTCTGCAGCTGTGACTTTAGTTAAGGATCTTGAGGTGGGAAAATTATCTTGGGTTATCTGAGCGGGTTCAGTGTAATCACATGAGTCCTTCTAAGATGCTGGAAGAGGGAGGGTTGATTACAAAAAAAGGGAAGGCAGAGACAAGAAAGAGACTGACAGAAACAGACCAGAGGGATGGAAGAAGGGGCCACAAGCCAAGAAATGCATGTAAGCCCTGGAAGCTGTAAAGGGCAACACGTTGACTTTAACTAAGTGAGACTGACTTCTGAGAATCAGACTTCTGACTTCCAGAACTATCTACACTAATAAAAGAGAAACATGGTAGATCTTGAGGTGGGAAAATTATCTTGGGTTATCTGAGCGGGTTCAATGTAATCACATGAGTCCTTCTAAGATGCTGGCAGAGGGAGGGTTGATTACAAAAAAAAGGAAGGCAGAGACAAGAAAGAGACTGACAGAAACAGACCAGAGGGA